CTGCCCGCGGCTCGGAGAGGGCCGCGCAAGCCCGGGTTCCTCACGCTAACGGCGGTTTGGGGCTTTGCCTCGCTGTAAGATCCAGCTGGGGGCTAGTGGAGGATCGGGGGCGTCTCTTTGATCGAGGGACGAGTTTCTGGGCTCTCTTCCTGCCCTTTTAGAGACCCCTCCATTTATTCCTCTGTTTAACTCCTCCATTTATTCCTCTATTCCTTTCCCTCCTTTTCCCATTTCGATGGCCTGAACGTGCAAAAGGAAACTGGGTCCCGCTGTCTCGCCCAGGCTGAGCCGCGGGGACTATTCACAGGCGCGATCCCGCTACTGATCAGCACAGGAGCTTTGACTCTTCCTGCCCTTTTAGAGACCCCTCCATTTATTCCTCTGTTTAACTCCTCCATTTATTCCTCTATTCCTTTCCCTCCTTTTCCCATTTCGATGGCCTGAACGTGCAAAAGGAAACTGGGTCCCGCTGTCTCGCCCAGGCTGAGCCGCGGGGACTATTCACAGGCGCGATCCCGCTACTGATCAGCACAGGAGCTTTGACCTGCTCCGTTCCCGACCTGGGCCGGTTCACCCCTCCTTAGGCGACCTGGGGACCCCCGGCTCCCCGGGGATCACCATATCGATGCTGAGCTTAGCGCGGACGCCCGCTCAGCATAGCACACCGCGGCCCAGAACCCCCGGGCTCAAGCCGTCCACCAGTTTCAGCCTCCCAGCAGCTTGGATTACAGGCACCAGCCACCGTGCCCAGCTGTTTTTCAAGTAATTTTTCCTCGAGACCCATCTTGCACGGGCTCTGCCTGGCCACAGAGGGGCAGTGGGCAACTGAGAGAACAGTCTTTGTGTGGCTTGCGTTTTACATTTAAGAATGGATGAATACATAGAAAGAAAGATTTCTGAGCAGCAGTAGATTTCAGTAGTTGAGAAAGCCCAGAGTTTTCATTTTAAGCCAAAAGAGGCACATGGTGGTGCTTTATCTCCAGTACAAGACTTGGACGGCTTGGCCCTCTTCATTTACTGGAGAGGTTGAGAGATGCCCTACTCCCAGCTTTGAAATACTGGTTAGAGGCTTCTTAACTGACCACTCCATGTTGTCCGAAGAGCTTAAAGCTGAGAGCTGATGACACTAATGAGCTGTGACAGTAAGTACCCAGTGGAGCAGGCTAGTGAGACATTCCCACGAACCAGAGACTTGGTCTCGGTCTGGGGCAGGCTGCCTAAGGGGTTACTAAACCTGCTGTTAACTGAATCGCAGGGATGGAGAACTTCTGAGGCAAACAGGGGAAATGCTGCTGATTCCCCATTTTAGTAGTTAAATCCACTGGGATCCAAAAAAGTTTGGCAGGGTCCTGCACCGTGACCTCTCAGTGCTGCAAGAAATCACAGCACAAGCAACCGAAACCTGAGCACACGCTAAGGAGCAAGGCTGCAACAGCATCTTCGCTGTTAACGTCTGTAGAAGGTGCTTCTGCCTTTCCCCAGCGCTACCGGACCCTTTCACGATTGCTCCCCGGAACAGACGGTGCTGGAGCTGACAAGTGCAGCATCGAGCAGGGGGAAAGAAAGATGCCAAAAGAGGCTGGGTCCCACTCTCTTGCCCGGGCTGCACTACGGGGACTGTTCACAGGCGCCGTCCCGCTACTGAGCGGCACGGGAGCTTTGACCTGCTCCGTTCCCGACCTGGGCCGGTTCACCCCTCCTTAGGCGACCTGGGGCCCCCTGGCTCCCCGGGGGACACCATATCGATGCCGGCCTTAGCGCGGACGCCCGCTCGCCACAGCGCGCCGCAGCCCAGAACCCCCGGGCTCAAGCCGTCCACCAGCCTCAGCCTCCCCGGGGCTTGGATTACCACCAGCCACGGTGCCCGGCTGCCTGCAGCTCCCTCCTTCTCCGCTCTCCAGCGCTCAGGCGCCGGCTCCTCTGGCCTCACCGCAGCAGCCTCAGGCAGCAGGATGCATTAATGCTTCAGCAACGCCCTGGAAACACTAGAGAGAGAGAGAGTCGAATGCAGGAGGTTAATTTAGCTCCTCAAGTAAAGATTCAACACAATGTTTTACCTTAGAAATCTTCTTGCCTTTATCAGTTCACTGCTGCAATAGATAGCTGGCTAGAAATACTTTCACAGAGTGTTTGAGATATTCCCTATGTATTTTGGCTCCCTCAGAGGACTATCCAAGAGACCTCCCCCCCCTAGATATCCTGTGACCATAACTGTGCAGCTGGCTGGGGCTAGGGGTGTTGCAGGCCCCTCACCTCACCCTGACTCACACGAAGACTTGCAGGGGCAAGGAAGGCTTAGACGTAGCGTGCTCAGAGAGTGAAGGCAGCCTTTGGTCTGCTCCAGCAGTGTGCACAGTGTTGTGTCTTTTCTAACAGTTAGCTAAAGGTGATCTTAACCATACACTGCCATTGCCAAAATTGCCATTTTTGCTTTCCCACCAGATCCACGTTGTTTCTTCAACCAAGTTGAGCAGTAGCCTGGGGGACTTGTGATGACTGCAAACACACGCTGTAGAGGACGGGTCCCCAGACTGTTGTGTCCCTCCACAGAAGGTGTGCACAGGCCACCTCTGAGGTCAGCAACCATTGCTGACTCCACGCCAGCCGGGAGGAGCCAGGAAACGGCAGCTGGGACTGCAAACACTGCCAGAGAACAGCACGGCCTCCCCCAGAACAGCAGCAGCAGCCCAGCCAGAGCCTCTGGTGCTGCTTCCGCCCCGCGGGCCTCCTCCCAGCCCTGCCCCGCCGCGATTGTCGCTGACACTGGCTCTGTACAGAGCCAGCCTGGAGCCGGTTCAACCTTGACCCGTACGGACGAGTGTGTTTGCATTGCATTTCTTAGCGCAAGGGTCAAGGCATGGACATACCTCCTGACCAAAGCATGGGCGTGCCTCTTTCCCAAGGCATGGACATACCTCCTGACCAAAGCTCGGGCGTGCCTCTTTCCCAAGGCATGGACATACCTCCTGACCAAGGCCAGACCCACTGGCAGCCACTCCAAGAGGTACCTAAGCATTTCTTCCACACCACCTGACCCAAGTAGGTGGAGCAGAGCCCAGGGCTTAAGTACACACAGGGCAATCCCATCCCAGAAACGACAAACAAGATCTTCCCCAGTGCCGCATAAGCCCGAAGTCATTAAGGGTATTAGTGTGGCGCGGGCAAGACATCTTGCTCCAGGCTCCTATCATCTACTTAAAGAAGAGCTGTCAGCAACAGCTAGCATTTTAGTTAAAGGCATTAGGATAATGACTTAGAGGTCATGGACACGAGAAGAAAAGGTAGTCCTGATGTCCACAAAAAGGAGAGACATGCAGGCCATGCATACAGGCATAATATTCAAAAGCCTGACCACTGTGCTCTTTCTGCCACTCCCCAGCAGGGCCTGACATCCCTCTCCCATCCCTTCCTCCACCCAGAAACTCAGGGACTATTTCTTCTGGCCACAAATACACACTTTTTATCCCATATGAAAATACTCATTTTGCAGAAGATCCTGGCACC